CAAAGACATTGCTTGTTTATATACACTGCCTCCATTAAGTCTAATAAATGGTATGACTGATTAAAAACTTTTAATTTTTTTTACTTGTATTTATTCCAATCAGAAACATATAATTTTCATTTCATTTAAATTTAATATTTTTCTTGGTTTTAGTTTCCAACTTTAGTGCGTATTTTGAGATTCGATATTGTATTTCCCGTCATCTTAAGTTACTTTACATAACTGTCAGCTTCTCTTACCATATTAGATTTTTTTTTACATTTGATGGAAATGATAAGAACCATAGTCATAGTTGTTTAATAACATTTCTTTCAGTTTAATTAATATTTATATATCAAACCAGATCAGTTATCAGAGATTATTTATAATAAAACTGATAATAGTATTAAATTAAAATACCTCAAAATAAATATATTTGCATGTGTGTGTGTGGAGAGGGGAAGCTTCTGAACAGTTCTGTCTACCCAATTTCACTCAAGTGGCATGGTTTTCAAGCACTTTCCAAAGGTGCTACCCACTTGGATCACCTCCCCAGGTCAATAACATCAAGAAGTCACCTTGGCAAGTCAACTGTGGTAAGATTCAAATGCATGGTCAGAAAGATAGATGTGAAGTTGGGCTGTTTTATTCTAAGGAACTGTCTTGGCAAGATGTGATCTTATTTCAATATTTACAGAAGTCTTTCATTAACATTTTCATTTACTGACACTGTTTGTTCTAATTGTTTTACACTTTTATGCTGAATAAAGCCTAAGTAGGAGGTTTATGACTTCTCTTTACTATCATATATATATTATTGATATGGTCATTCACTTACAGGCCTGATTTGCTGTATCACAGCTCATCAGTGTAGCTAGACATCCGGTTGCTTCAAGCAGGGATCAAAACCCTACCAATTTGGCATCAGTCGGAGATCCTACCCCTAAGCTATCAGTGCATAGCTGAGAGAAAAGGAAATTCTAACGTATTGTTCATGGATGTAAACAAACGCTGGTAGCCAACAGTGCTCAATTCATTAAATGAAGAACGATGCATTATATATATATATATATATATATATATGATGGACTCTCCTGTTGATTTCGACATATGAGGACCTCACCCAGTTTGTGTCATATGTAACACTTCAGTCCTGTTAGTGGCCTACATACAAGTTTACATATTGTGCAACAGCAATTTTTTATTTTTTATATTTATATTTCATTTTTTATTTTTTATATTTATATTTATATTTCATTTTTTATTTTTTATATTTTATTTTTTATATTTTATTGTATAGTGTTGGTTATTAGCTTTTAACTTATTATCTCTTATTGATTTCTTATGGTATTTTGTATTTATTCATTAATCATTTGCTATTGATTATTATTATTAAATATTAGTTGTTGTTAGGTATTCATCCATACAGTTAATTTATTATTATTCATTTACTTGATATGTTTATTTTTCTTTTGGGTATGGCTATTTTGATGTCTGATTTCAACCAATGTTTTGATATAAGCTGACCAAATGATAGTCTTTAAATGACTTCCTCATCAAGTGTATTAGGTCTAAATAGTGTGCTAGTGAGGTAGACAAAAAAAAAGCAAAAAAAAAACTTACCTATGAATAAAAAAATAAATAAACATATTTATGACTTCTAACGTTTACCCTTGTTGTAGATCAATGTTGGAATATATGGCCTACTTGGTGCTGGTTTTAGCCTAACAATGGTCTTTAAAAAAACTAATTGTTAGTCCGAACTCATCACACATGGGAGAGAAAAAGTCCATCAGGAGCTACAGTTCCACCTGCGTGTGTGTTACAAGATTGCAGTCACCAATGTAAAGGAGATCCCAAATGAGGGTTATAGTTTGTTGAAGTGAAACAATAGATGCTAAACTACTTTCCTTCTGTCCAGTAATGAATATAGACACTTGTAGTGCTATGAGCAAATCCTTGCAAGACCATTATATATATATATATATATATATATATATATATATAAATAATAGTCTTGCAAGGATTTACTCATAGCGCAATCCATTTGATTATATATATATATATATATATATATATAATCAAATGGGTAAATGTGCAAGCAAGTGTTTATATACAAATACATATATATATGTGTGTGTGTGTGTGTGTAAAATATATAGAAAATAGGAAAGAACTCATTAGGTAAATAATCCAAAGTTCTTTAGTATTTTTGTTATTATTTAAAAAAAATAGTGCTCGATACAAAAGTAGAGCATAAATATAATTATTTATGTAACGATGGAATCATATTTTTAAATAAATAATTATATATATATATATATATATATATATATATTTATATGCACACACTGTATAGTATAAGAAAAACAGTGCACAAAGTTAATATATTTAAAAATATACATAATACCTTACATTGATTGCACAACTCAGTGTCATGCTAATGCAATTTTCAAGTGCTGAGTTTTTGGGTTTAACATTGTTAGGTTTTTTGCGGTTTGAGAAATCTTTTTAGAAAAATATGCCAGAGAGCACATATTGTTCTAACAAGATTTCTTGAATATTTGTGAGGGTAGATGTAAATAAATAAGTATACTATTTAATAAATAATTAAATAATAATGGAGCATCTACTCAAATATGTGTATCCATTTAAAATAACGTTTTAACAAAAAAATTAAAAATGTATTAGATTTAATACATTTCCTAAAATATATTTGGTGTAAAAAAATTAATATAAGTTTTAAAACCATTCTAATGCAAAGTAACCAATTGTGAAAACGACAACATATATTATGAGACAAATGGGTTTGAAATGGGGTTTATGAAATTACAACAAATTTTCAATGAAATGCTGCACTCTAGCAGCAACAATGAGATCTTATAAAACAAGGAACAATTTTAAACCAGATCCTTTTGTTCTATCAACAATTACTCATCTGATGGAAAAGTTTGAAATCACAAAGACACTTCATGATATTTTTTCAAGTGAGAGACATTCTTTAGAAGTTGAGCACACACCTCAAGTTATGGATAGTCTGTCAATAATTTGATCAAACATGCAATCTTGGTTACAGAACAAAATGACAGAAAAATTGAAAATTTGCTTTAAATAAGCAAAACAGCATTAGCCAAAAACACTAAATCCAAAACTGTAAACTTTGTCTGAAGGAGAAAATATAGCCATAACCACCTTCCCAGATCAACACAAATTAGGAAATAAACAATCAGAATACTTTTCTTTAATAAGATCTCTCAAATATTCAGGCTGGTAAGAGAAAATAATTTTACTGTTTAATAAATAAATAGAGTGCCTACTGAAATAGAAGTATCCACTAAAAAAAATGATGTTTAAATTGATGAAAATCTGTTGTATTGATAAATAAAATTCATTACTTTAAAAACAAATATTAATGTCATGTCCCTTCAGAAAATAGAAATCTTTGAAATATTCCCTGGGTTTGTGTTACACTCACTTAGCATTATAAAGTTCTCCAAAGAATGTCTTAGACCAGTGTTTGGCATCCTACAGCATACGTGGTACACCAAGCAATTTCCAATGGCATGCAGCTGCAAATGATATCACAAAGTCCAAACCAATAACTACTACAACTCAAAGAAGATATTTAGCTGTTTCAAAACTGCTCACTTATTGGACTCCCGTTAATAATAAAAACTTACAAAAAAAAAACTTTTAAAAACAGTTTATTTCTATTAATGTGGTTTACATATTGTATATATTACTATATAAAATATATTGTAGAACAGGTACATTGACCTTGTATAAAAATATGTATGCTGTTGGCACATTGAATGATTTTAAAACCTTAAGCTGGCACATAGTTAGCTAAAGGTTGCCAAACCCTGATCTATAAAAAGTGTTATATTGATTAAAAAATGTATTTTTATGAATATGCTTTCTATCCAGCCTATTTAAACCAAATATATTCTGAATTATAATTTTACCATCCTTTGTAAATATTTACACACATTCAAGATTGCCCATTTGTAAATCATGTCATTTACTGCATATAAACCATAAAAATGTAAAAAGAAAATATCATATTCACTTCTTTTAAGAATCTCAGCAGTAAAGTTGAACTAAAAATGATTCCTAGTTTGTTTTTTTAAATCGCAAAACTCATTAAAAATCATTAAGAATTTTGCCATATGAACTTGATAGTTTACTCTATAAAAGGGGTTGGCAACCTACTGTACATGTGCCACATGCAGCACACCCAGCAATTTCCAATGGCACGCAGCCACAAATGACATCATGAAGTTTGAACCAATAACTACTACAACACAAAGCTGTTTCAAATTAAATATATACTAAAGTATATATACTATATATTATGATATAAAATATATTGTAGAACTGGTATGTTGACCTTGTATAAAAATATGTATGCTGTTAGCACACTGAATGATTTGAAAACCCTAAATCGGCATATAGTTACCAAAATGTTGCCGACACATGTTTTAGACAAATGATCATCCCTATATATACTTATTAATGGGGACTAAACTCTGAGCTTAGTCTATCATAGAACCATAGTTAGGGGAGCATCTACCAAGAAGCAGATTCATCATGCTGTTACTATGAGCATTTTATTTTAGTTTTACTTCATTTTTCTTTCATTTAAAGTTTTGGTAATATAAGTACATTGGTTGTTTGTTATCCATTATCATTCTGTATGTGACTTTATTTGCTGTACAAAAAGTTTATCCTGCCACTAAATGTGACTTTGATCCCTGAACAATAGTGTGTTTGAATTTTATACTTGTGTTGTCATATCCTGCTATGGCAACAGAAAACACCCTTGAGTGAAATTAATGATAAGGATATTGAAGGCCTTGAAAAAGTATGAAGTGGAAAGGGAAGTAATATTATTAATGCGGAATGCTAAAGGTTAATAATATCCATATTTGTTGTGCAAAGGGTAGCTTTTATTCTTCCTTAATTCTTCACTGATTTGTGGCTGCAAAAACCTATTATTTTGGTGTTGGAGGTGGAACCAGGCAGTTTGAAAGCCAAATTTTAGAAGATAATCGATTTACTTCCTCGATTTGTTGGACACAATCACAAGGTAAGTTTAATTTAATCTGTTTAAATATAAATAAATTTATATTTATAAAATATTTAATGAGTTTATTCATTGTTATCAGTTGTGATTTTACAGGCGATAACCTTTTTAAACATTTTTGTAATCAATTCTATATATGAGGATGTTTAAATGCCTAATTTTAACTGAGGTTTTATTTTAATATATTTTATTTTTATACATTATTTTTATAGACACAAGTGTTTAAGTAAATGTTTATAATAAACAGTATTAACAACATTTACCGGCCTGAATGTCCAAGGAATTTCATAGAAAATAAGCATCCTCCAACAGGAATCGAACCCGTATCCAACAGAGCATTTACTTAAATATTGATGTCTATATAAATAATGTATAACAATAAAATATATTAAAATAATTGTCGGACTTAGTTCATTTTATAATATATACTGAGGTTTTATAAATTGTTTGACGACATAACGTGAAAACAAGTTTTATTTTTTCCATCTGATTTGTAATTTTAATTTTTATTAGAAAATTTTCCCTTTGTTTTTTTCTTTAAGTCTTTGGCTGTAATTGTATGCTTTACTTTCTGTTTAGAGAAGGGTGTGAAAATTTTACATTGTTTTTTTCAATACAAGGCTGATGTATTCTTTGACCTCATTTGAAGTTCATTCAGTTTTTATGACTTTTAATCAAATTTTCACTTCCTGCCATTACATTTAAAACAATTCAGATTGGCAAAATCAAAAAGAAAAAATGCAGAATACTTTAAAATTTCTGGGTGCATTACACCAGGTAAAAACTGAGAACACAGTAACCAAAATGACAAAGATAAGGATACTCATTTAATGTGGCTTCCCTATACATTTTCATGGTAATTGTTCTGATGAACTTTCCTCTTTGGTACCTCAACTTTACAAATTTAAGTGCAGTACTGGATTGGCAGCTAGGTCTCATCATTTTACAGTTGAAATGGCTAGATTTAACCATAAGTTTTATGCTAACAGTTTCTTCTTTTGCACTTCTTGTTTGTTGAACTCTGGCCTCTTGCTTTCCTTTGATCTTTCCTTTGATCTTCAAAAATTTAAACACAATATTGCTATCTTCTGTATTTTTAATTTCTGTTCTTTTATTGTTCACACTTCTTAATATTATTAGATATTAATAAATAGTGTTTAATTTTTTTTTGTTGCAAATTCTTAAGAACAAAAAAAGATGTTTAAATTCACTTTCATCATATGTTAAGGTTTTATTCCAATTCTGTCATTGCTTTTTAAAACTATAAACATTGCCAAGGAGTCAAGGTAGTTTAAAAAAGTGGTATCAAGGGAAAAACTATCATTTTGACACTTTGTTCTTTTTTGCAGGCATGAAAGTCCATGTTTGCCGATTGTCCAATCAGAAAGTATGGTGTACATTAGACACTATAAATATATTGGTTAGGAAGTTCACAGTCCAAATTAGGCAGTCATCCAATAGGAAGTCCATTTATGACATACATAAAGCATTGTATTTTATCTGTAGCTTTTGTAATATTCTAACCTCTGTGAATTTCTATCTTGCAGAGGACAGCTACCCAGTGGCAAACCTACTATGAAACTGATGAAGCTTAAGAAGCCCCTCTGGGATAAGCTCCCAGAGGGGCTCCTGAAGCAACTTTATTTAATGAGTGGATTTTTCAAGAAAATCAATGTTTTTTTTTTAAATGTTTCTTATTATATTTTATTGATAGAATCATAAGCCAATGAGTTGAAGTTGCTAATGTTGGCCATAGAATATTCTCTACTAATACCCATTTCATATGGCCTCAAAATTCCCCTGTAATTGGTCAAATTTCAAAATTTTCTTGAGGCTTTGCAGCACCCAGCTATATGGGCTAATTGCCAGAATCTATTCATAGTGTACATTTTGGCAATTGGATTCTCAAATCTATTGTTGGTGGTTGTGAAGGGGCCATCATATCTGTTCAAACTTCAGGGCCCTGAAAAATGTAGGTCTGCCACTGCTGCCACCTTTACAATGAAATATTTGTTTTTGTTCTTTTTTTAATCATTTCACCCCAAGCAAAGTGATAATTCCACTAAAACATAAAAGGTGACTGAGAGTGAAAGAGAATGAGATGATTTTAGTGTAGAGAAAGGACAATAAAAGAATAGATTTCAGGAAGACAGAAGATGGCAATAATGCCACTAGGACAAAAGGAGTTACTGGGAGTGAAAGAGAATGAGAAGACTTTAGTGAGGAGAAAGGACAATAAAAGAACAGGATTTGGGGAGACAGAAGATGGCAATAATGCCACTAAGACACAAGGGGGTTACTGGGAGTGAAAGAGAATGAGAAGACTTTAGTGAGGAGAAAGAACAATAAAAGAACAGGATTCAGGGAGACAGAAGATGGCAAATGGCATTGCATTTAATTTTTTACATAATATGTGGCAGGGGAGTGAAAAACTGGAAGAGTTCCACAGGTGAGATGTGTGAGAAAAGAAAGTATTAGAATAGAAATTACGGTTGTATCTAACTAGTTCAAGAGTAAAATGGTGAGACCTAGTTGCCAATCTAGTAGTACACTTAAATTCATGCAGTCAAGTTATCGAAGTGGACAGCTCAGCAGAACAATTGCCATGAAAATATTTACAGAAAAGACAGAAGTAATTCACCTCATGGTATTGAGAAAGTGACTGAAGTCAAGATACCAAGTCTGGACCAATTACATTACATACCCTTCTTTGGATTTTGCCAAGAATTATTAGATATATATCAAGAATTTTTTTAAGCAATTCACCCCAACCAAGGCAGGAGTGCCACTTCTATGCAAGGGGTTATAGAGGGTGTAAGTAAGGGAAAAGACTGGGTATAGAGGGGTTGAGGAAAAGATAAAAAGAAAAACAGGGATCAAGGCAATATTACATTTAAATTTTTGAAGATTATCAAGGAAGAAAGTAAGAGGAAGGGAGTTCCACTGTTGGGAAGTGCGAGAGAAGAAGCTGTTGGAGTAGAAGAGGTGGTTACATTTAACTTGTTCAACAGTAAAAGGGTGGGACCGAGATGCTAACCTAGTAGTAGGCTTAAATTCATGCAGTTAGGGCACCAGTGAAAATATCTTGTCAGAGCAGGTGCCATAAAAATATTTATAGAAAAGATAGAGGGAACCTACATTATGTCGGTGAAAAAGTGAATGGGGTGGAGACCCCAACTCAGGACTGATCACATTGCATATCCGTCTTTGGATTTTGTAAAGAAGCTTGAGATGAACAGCGGGGGCACCAGACCATATATGGCAACAGTATTCCATGCATGGACGAATGGTAGATTTGAAGGATGGACTCTAATAAAAAAAAACCCAAAAAAACAACCTTCTGGCGGAACACAAAACCAACTTTATAAATGTGCAAGATGGATTCAAACAAGAAAAATTGTCTGGCACAAAACAGTGAACATAGTTTTCTTGGTGTATTTATTTAATTTTGCTTAATTTATAATTCAATGCTTTTGAAACCCCATTCATTTTATTGCATATGTAGATTATCTCCCCTTAATGTTACCTTCTTTACTGGTAGGTTTTCTGATTGCTTTGTTTGCAGGCATTTCCAGAGAAATTCTTCATCTTCAACGAAAGAAAAGCTGAAATGAAATTTATCACTTGAAAATTTCAAATTATTTCAATAAAGTTTTGTTTTGTCAACTGGTTTTATTCTTTTATTTATTTTCACAACCCAAAATGGGTACTTATTTCTAATACAAAGTAATCACAGAATAGACTTCAATAAATTATTAGTGTTAATAGATCATTGTCATAAATAACTCACAATTTCAAAGAATCAATGTTTTTGATTCATCTGTACTATGTTTTTTGTTCATGTGTATTATAATGAGCCAATGAATGTTCGTTACAATAGTGCAGCAAAAACAGCACACCATAGCAAGATTTTTGTTAGTACAATACCATTGAAATGCTGTAATGTGGAGAATAAAGCAATTCCCAGTGCTTTTTGAAATTTAATAATATTGTGAGGTCGGCAGTTGGACTCACCATGATAAGAATGATCCTGTTTTTGCATGTTTGTGTGTTACAAAAACTAAAAAGAAAATCGTGTCAACATTGAACGAGGAAAAGAAATGAAAAGATTTAGTGTGGGGTCAGCGTTCACATTCACTCTCTGATAATACTAACCTGATTTCTGTATGTTACAAAAGCTGAAAAGAAAATCATACCAACATTGAAAGAGAAAAAGAAATGAAAAATTACTAATATAATGGGGTCAGCATCCACACTCACTGAAAATACTGATCTGATTTATATGTCTACTACAAAAGCTGCAAAGAGAATCATATCAATGTTGAAAAGGAAATGAATTGAAAAGATTACTGATTGATATATAAAATAATAAAACCCATGAAATAATGATATCTTTATTTTGTTTAAAAACTTTATATAATTTTATTTTGAATGAAATAACTGTAGCATTATTTCACTAGTTTCATTATTTTATATAAAACTAATTACTCTTTATTTTATTTTCCTCTTCCACCATAAACATTTCCATACTTTATTACAAAAATACAATGTTTCTAAATTGTAAGTTCAAATATCATTTAAGACTAGACTCCTGCTGATTAGGGATTAGAAGTACAAGAGAAGCAACATTAATGAAAGTCTGTTCAAGGGAAGTAACTCCAAGTTTATTAATTACAAAGTAGTTCTGTATTACATCATACTGCATCAGCTGATTGCAAGCAATCCTTTCTTTCACTGGCTTCATTACCAACTGTATTATTTTGATTGCTTATGAGAGTAAGAACATGACATTTCTTGCCATCTATAAATTATCTGAAATTATGATTTACGGTGAGAAAAAAAAAAAAATTTTGGTGAAATATCTTTTCAGCTTCACTTAAGTATCTGTCTATATTTCTGAGATGAGGTATTATGTACACTATTCGGAGTATTGTCTTCATGTTTATCACCATATTTATTACAATGTTTCGGCCTTCTTTAGGTAGTTGGAATGTCAAACTGGACCCTTTATTTTGCTCACTGGGGTAGACTGTTCTAGTTCCACATGCCATGTTTAAGAGATATCAATTATCTCCTGTTAATTCCCCACTGCTTTAACCAGGTATTGAACTCACACTCTTTGGGTCCTGTCACTGGATCTAACCAATACCTTTATCCACTGTGCCATGTGTCCTTGAGGACATCTGTGTATGAATTTCTGGGTATTATAAACCTAATGTCTTCAGCAAACATTTTTTTACCAGTGTTCATACTGCAATTTTTGCTGTTATCAATTTATGTTTTTACCAGAGCTCATATTGCAATTTTTGCTACATTTAAAAGTATACACTCTTTCTCTACCTTTTAAGCAGTCCATTGATACAGTTGAAAACGAACATACCTTCCTTCACCCACATTGTTAAGCAAGCAGCTGCTATATTTGGATACATACATACATACATATATGTACATATTTACTTCATATCGGGCTGAAGCTCTCAGATGCATCAGAATTTTACACTTGAACTCCTGAAACTTTGACTTTTACCTTATCCTTCAGTATTATATTGAGTTATATAAAGATTTATTTTGTATTTTTCAACATTGTGCATTTCCTTTTAATCATTACACAAGGCCAATAGACACCCAAATTAAATATAGCAAATATGATGGTACTGGATGTTGTCATGAAATAACATCCGCAAATCCTCCATTTCTGATACCCCACAACCACCATAAATTTTATCAAAGGCAGCAGTAAGCAAACCTGAAAAAGAGAATGCAGGTTCAATTCTTGCTGAGAAGTACATATTCTGTAATAAGACTTTTGATGATCTATGCCTGTAGATAAACAAGTGTGCCTACGTAAACATGAGTAACTACATCTGGCAGCAAGGCCACTGATTGGGAGATTTGAGGTTTTGAGGAACATGGAACTATCTCTTAATTGCTGTTGTTCCGAGATACACTTTGACCCAGGGTAGTAGCACCTGTTAGGGTCCCAGCTATAGGCAAATAGTGAACCTCCAAACAAAAATAAAACACTATGAAAGTATAAAAATACAACTTTTTAGCAAAAATACCAGCAATACATTTTTATATAAAAAATATGACCAACAAATACATACTTATAGTAAAATGATCAACAATACATTTTTTCTTTAGTTGAAGGCATACAACTGCATTCAAAATATATTTAGTTGAAGCCATAAAATTGTATTTGAAATATTTAGATTTCAGCATTAAATAAACTATAGGGGTTGATATGCTGCTAAACAAAAAGAACCAACATGAAAGAAATCTTTCATGGCATTAATCCATATAATATCCTACAATTTCTTAAAGAAATCAAACTATTCCCAAATATAACTTAAACAAACTACAACTTAAAACACTCATATCATTGCCTCTAGTAATTATGTCCACACAAACAAGTATATGCACAAAAGCTGAGTATCATCTACCATGTATTCAATTGTGAAAGCAGAATAACATCATATTTTTATTACTTCAAAGCTCCCAAGAAAGTTAAATTTCAACATTAAATGACTCATAGAGATTGATATGCCATTAAACAAAAACAACCAACATGAAAGAAATCTTCCATGGCATTAATCCATATAATATCCTACAATTCCTTAAAGAAATCAAACTGTATTCCATGTGCATTATAACTGTAAATAACTGATACATGATTGACCAATGAAAATCAAACAACACAAAATTGAAGATATCAGAATGTCTGTCTCTTTATACATTTTCTCATGTTCTGATAAAGCTTTAATAAAAGTGAACTATGTTAGATTGATAAACATTTTCTGTTTGTTCTTTATCTTTTATATATATATATATATATATATATATAATTCTCAAAATGTGTGTGTATGTATATGTGTGCGTGATCGGATGTTTATGCATTTCCACATTTTCCAAAATGTTTTTTTACATTTTGTGCAATAATCAAAAAGACAAAATTTAATGTCTGTAAAAAACAGTGTACAATCAATTTAGAGAGTTGAAATCTAACGCAAAAGATTATTAAAATAATAAAAAAAATTATATTATAAATAAAAATTATTGTATATTATTATTATGATGGCTATTGGAAGAGGTTCCTTCCTTGCAAGCTTGAGAACGCAAAAATGACCCTTTTCAGGCCCCCACTTCAAAATGTTAACACCCCACCATTTGGGGATGTGCTTCAGTTGCACCCAAATGTTGTTACTAATATAGATTTTCAGGTGGGCTGACTTTAAACTGCTCCAACTGAAGGGCAGAATTCCCAGTAATGAAACACCTGGTCAAAGACTGGTTATACTGCTAGTATATATATATATATATATATATATATATATATATATATATATATATGTAGAAACCTAACTTGTTTTATATATAATTAATTTTTTTTTTTTCTTTTTATATAAAACTCCCTTTTTGGCTCTCTTTTAGTTTCAATTTAACACCTCATTCTTCATATAGCCCCAATTTAATGTCATAAGGTCAATATCCGGGTTAATTTTATAAAACCTCCTCCCTTTAAGGCTAATACCTTCAACCCTTCCCCTTAGCACTGACTTGGGCATTTTGTCTGACTGAAACATCAAAATGGATAAATTATGTATCAATTTTTTGATAGCTGTCAAAGTTAAATTTTAAATTCCGACCTGAACAGTCTGTACATCAGGGTTAAATAAGACTAACATACTTCTCCTCGTTGGTTGAAATAGATCTATACCCCACCCATATGAGGTAATTTGGGATTTTGTTGTTTAATATATGTGTGTGTGTATAAGCTGCTAACACAAAGCTTGTGGAATTTATTCATAACAAAGCAATTATTTTAAAACATTTTTATGTTTATACATTCTTTTTATAAATAAAATGTCTTAAAATAATTTTATAAAAATGTCTTAAAATAATTGTCGGACTTTGTCCATTTCATAATGTGTGATGTCATTTGTTTACATTTGGATATGCTTTGAGCAGATATGAATGTACGTGATAGATTCATGGAACATTGTAGTTTAAAAGCAGTAAAATTGACCTTGCTAATGGAACGATCCTCTGTGGCTCAATTGGTTATATGAAGGTTCCATAGAGGATACAGGTTCAATTCCTGTCAGAGGACGAATATTTTCTCTGAAAATTTCTTGGACATTCAGTAAATGTTATTAATACTGTTTATTAGAAACAGAGCATTTATTTAAATATTTGTATCTATAAAAAGAATGTATAAACATAAAAATGTCTTAAAATAATTGTCGGACTTTGTCCATTTCATAATGTGTGATGTCATATATAGATATATATATATAATGTGCAGCTGTTATCATTGGAGGAACTCGTTGCCAAGCTCATAGATATTTTCTTCTGTGTGAAATGAGTAATGTTGGATCTGAAGAGACATCTGCATGGTAGGTTAGGAAGGGTTAGGGGATGAAGAACTCAGGATTTTCTTTGGGCCATCTTTGTCTCTTCTATTTATTTTTGAAGGATGTTGTTTTTTTTGTGGACTGCTCTTCTCAGATTGGCTCTTTCTGCAGCATCCATTTCCCAATTGATCAGCTTGATTTCTGTCCTCAACAAGATGTTTTTGAGCTGATCCTTGAATCAACGATGTGGGGTTC